TTATGTGTATATTACAGTTAAGGAAATCAGTAAAAATATTGTAGATAATGAGAGCATGGGGGCATATGGAAAGAGCACAGGAGCCAACTTGAAGGAGTTCCCAATGGCCACATCTTGGGCAATTTGAGTGACAGAATAAATAATGATAGTAATGGATTATACTCCATAGAATAAAACAAATGTCCATGAGTCCATATGCCATAGAATCCCAGTTAAATGTAGCAGGAATGATAGAAAAAAGATCATTGGGCAAACACTATAGTAATTGTTGCAGACAGAAACATCTCTGGATGCTAAAATTAGTGGGTGAAAATAGGATGTCAAATAGGATTTTGTACAGTCTCATAATACTTCCCCACAAGGTACTTATTAATTACAAAGAGAAAATACATTCACTTCATAGTGGAGGAACTTGGCAGACACCACCTTAACCAAGTGGTCAAAGTTAACTGCACCAGTAATAAGACATATTGACGTTGTGTACCTCCCAGTATGATGCACCAATAAGGGCAGCCATCACTTCTGCAGTATTCTTGCCAAAATGTATAATTTTAAATGACTGTGAGAAAAGTTCAGATCTATTTAATAGTAAGACTTCCATATGTTTTGCAAAGCCTCCCCTTTTCCTGGATCCAAAAGAGCAAAGGTTATATTATTGGTTTATAGCTTTCTTATCTTGTGATAGGATGTTCCTCTCTACCTCCCACTCCTTCAGGATGCCACAGTCATCTCACATCTCTCCTAAGAGGCTCCTGTTTGACATCTGACCCCAGGAAAATGAATGACAATCCATTACAGGATGGGATCTCTGCTAACTCCAGCTGGGATTCCTGTTATTCAAGTCCTAGTACCAATCATCTATAAAAGGTGGGGTTGAAAAGTGATGTTCCCTGCAAATATTTATTATACTGTAGATTAATGTTTTATGTATTTTCCTGTATGGGTGTTACATTTCACAACAAAAAGTTTGAAAAAGTGATGTTTCCATTAGAGTGAAACAAATCATCATTAATTCATCAATAATTTTCTTTTTATCCCTGAAATGAAGTTTATTTATGAAAATGATGCATTATTTCTTTAAAAAAAATTAAACCACCTAGGGAAGCAAAAAAAAAAAAAAAAGCCATGAAATTTACTTATAATTCAACCCACTAGGAGATAATTCCTATCGACATTTTATGTTCTGCATATCCTTCAAAATTATTTGAAAGGTCAGCAGTTTGAATGCACCAGCCACTCTTTGGAAACCCTATGGGGCAGTTCTACCCTGTCCTATAGGGTAGCTATGAGTTGGAATTGACTCGACGACAATGGGATTTTGTATGCATACAATTTTTGAAACCAAAATGGAACCATGCTTCACATTCTGTTTTTTAAATGGTTTTATTGAGGTATCGTTGATATAAAATAACCTGCACACATTTAAAGTGTAAAATTTGATAAGTTTGACATACATACACACCTGTGAAACCATCCTCACAATCAATATAGTGAACATATCCATTACTCCCCACTGTCATACAGCTTTGTAAAACCCTCCTCTCACAACTCTCCTCCCACAAGCAACTACTGATCTGTTTTCCGTCACTATAAACTAGTTTGCCTTTTTTTGATTTTTATATCAATGAAATGTACAGTTTGTACTCTCTTTTTGTCTGAATTCTGTCTCTCGGAATAATTATTGTGAGATTCATCCATATCATTGTTTTTAGCTGCCATCGAGTCAGCCCCTGACTCATGGTGACCCCATGCACAACAGAATGAAACACTGCCCAGTCCTGCACCATCTCCATGGTTGGTTGCAGCTCAGACTGTCATGATCCATAGAGTTTTCACTGGCTGATTTTTTGGAAGTAGATCACCAGGCCTTTCTTCCTAGCCTGTCTTAGTCTGGAAGCTCTGCTGAAACTTGTTTAGCATCATAGCAACACACAAGCCTCCACTGACAGATGAGTGGTGGTTGCACATGAGGTGTATTGGCCAGGAATCGAACCCGGTTCTCCTGCATGGAAGAATTCTACCACTGAACCACCACTGCCTCATATCCATGTTATTACGCGTATCAATAGTTCGTTCCTTTTTATTGCTGAGTAGTAGTCCATTGTATGAATATATCACAATTTGTTATCCATTTAACTGTTGATGGATATTTGGATTGTTTCTAACTTTTTGCTATTACCAATAAGGCTGTCATGAACATTTGTGTACTAGTCATTTTATGGATATGTATTTCTTTCACTTTTAGGTAAATATCTTGATGTGGAATGGTTGGATAATATGGTAGGTATATGTTTAACTTGTAAAGAAACTATCAAACTGTTTATCAAAGTGGTTGCACCATTTTTCATTCCCAATAGTAGTGTATGGTAGTTTCGGTTCCTCCATATTCTTGTCAAAAGATGACATGGTTGGTCTTTTTAATTTTAGTCATTCTAATCAGTGTGCAGTGGTATCACATCATGGTTTTGTTTTGCACTTCCCTAAGACTAATGAGCAGCCCTGGTGGCACAATGGTTAAGTGCTACTTAACCACTGTGGTCACTATGAGTCGAAATCGACTTGACCGAAATGGGAGCCCTGGTGGCGCAGTGGTTAAGAGCTACAGCTGCTAACCAAGGGTTGTGGGCAGTTTGAATCCACCAGGTGCTCCTTGGAAACCCTATAGGGCAGTTCTACTCTGTCCCATAGGGTCGCTATCAGTCGGGATCAACTTGACGGCAATGGTTTGGTTTGGAATGACTAATGATGTCGAACATCTTTTCACATGCTTATTTGCCATCTGTTTATTTTCTTTGACTAGAAGTGGTGAAAGTGGAATCCTTGTCTTATTTCTGATCTTAGGGGGAAGCGTTCAGTCTTTCACCATTAAGTATGATGTTAGTTGTAGCTGCCCTTTATCAGATGAGGAAGTTCCTTTCTATTCTTAGTTGCTGGGCGTTTTGTATCAGGAATGAAAATGGATTTTGTCAAATACTTTTTTGTGTCTATTGAAATAATAATATGGTTTTTCTTTTTTGGTTTGTTAATATGGTGAATCATATTCATTGATTTTCAAATGTTAAACCAACCCTGCATTCCTGGGATAAACTCCACTTAGTCATGATGTATCATTCTTTTACTATATTGTTGGGTTTGATTTGCTAAAATTTTGTTTAGAATTTTTACATCTATGTTTATGAAGGATTTTTGGTTTACAGTTTTATTTTCTTATAATGTCTTTGTCTGGTTTTGGTTCACACACTGTTTTTAACTTTTTTCTACTGATGAATCACATATATTTTTGCCTATTAATAGGTACAGTTTTACAAATTTTGGGGGCATCATAACATTTTATTCTGGATGAATCATAATTTATTTTTTATTGTGCTTTAGATAAAGATTTACAGAACAAACTAGTTTCTCATTAAACAGTTAGTAGACATATTGTTTTATGACTTTGGTTTTATGACCCCACGACATGTCAACACTCTCCTCTTCCCAACCTTGGGATCCCTATCATCAGCTTTCCTGTCCCCTGCCTTCTAGTCCTTGCCCCTGGGCTGGTGTGCTCTGTTAGTCTCGTTTTGTTTTATGGGCCTGTCTAATCTTTGACTGAACAGTGAACCTCGGGAGTGACTTGTCATAACAGAGCTAAAGGTGTGTTCGGGAGCCATACTCTCGGGGTTTCTCCAGTCTCTGTCAGACCAGTAAGTTTGGTCTTTTTTGTGAGTTAGAATTTTGTTCTACGTTTTTCTCCAGCTCTGTCCAGGACCCTGTATTGTGATTCCTGTCAGAGCGGTCAGTGGTGGTTGCTGGGCACCATCTAATTGTACTGGACTCAGTCTGGTAGAGACCATGGTAGATGTGGTCCATTAGTCCAGAATCATAATTTATTTAACCTAATGTTGGATATTTGTTCCCAAGTTCTTACTATCATAAAAAGTGTAAACTCCTGTTTGGCAAAAATCTTTGCTGACACAAAGGATTGTTAGGATAAATTTGCAGGAGTGAAATTGGTAGGTCAGAGGGCTATGTATTTTAAGACTTCCATATTGTAAAATCGCATTTCAGAAAAGCCTTAAGAATGTATATTCCCCATTTACAGAGTATAAGATTGTTTTTCTTTTTTCAAAGTCCTTCCCCAAATTAAGTATTATTTTAAAAAGTAGGTCAGTAGTCCTTGCACATGATGAAATCCTTTTCCCCCAAATTGCTCCAACCCCTTCAGCATAAATCAGCTCTATGTGGTCTGAAGACATCAGAGAAGAAGAAGAAAAAAAGAGGTGATTTCCTTGTAGGCAGCAAACAGTCATAACATTGTGGTATTAACAGGAATGTAAGTTTTGCTGAAAGACAGAAGTGTAATGAGGATCGCCAAGAGAGATGCTTTTATCCCTTAATCTACTTTCTGGTATACTCATATCTCCAAGGCAACAGGGTAACTTGCTGATGGAAACCCAACCATTTTCACACATTTGGTTGGAAGATACATTAATTCTATTTTTTTTTTAACTTTCAGAATGTCAGAGCTGAAAGAGCCCTTAATAATCAATTAATCCAACCTTCATTATGTAGATGAGGAACCGAGACCCAAAGAGGAAAGAGAACTGGCCAAAATCCCATAGGAAATCAGTGGCAGAGCCAGTGGTTAGACAAAATTACCTCTAAGGTCTATTTTTGCTCTGATTCTGTGACTCTTCCACTTAGAATAATATCCAAACAGAAAACTCCCTTTCCCCAATAGACACTTTTCTAAATCAGATACTTTAAGAGCAGCCGTCCTGGTATAGAGAGAGTAGTTGCTTTTACACTTGCATTCATGTTTGGTCTCTGTTTCCAGGAATATCATGAGTGAATGGTATTCCTTTTCCGATTAAGTAAGGCTGATAATATGAATGGCAGAATGAGATTGGTTCAGGGGTATAAAAGACCCCCAAAGAAATACAAAACCAAAAAAGGCATACCCTGAGAGGCATCAGCACTAACTTGTGTCCTCTACATTTCTTTTGGAAGGATAAAGAAGCCACCAGTTAATACAGAGATGTTGGGGTTTGACGCATGTATGTATCATCCACAATGAAAAACAAATTGGGGGTGGGAGGAAAGGAGAGCTATTAGAATAAAATAGATAATTATGCATAGACATCTGTGGCATTGGCCATGAGATGGTTGATGGGTTGGGTTGGTTCATATAGGGCTTGGTATGTCCTAAGTGTACACCCCCAAAATGCCCAGGATGGTGATCATGGTGTCCTTTGCAATGGTGATGCAGTTCTTGTCTTCAGGGTAAAAGGTGAGGATCTCCAGAAAGGATGAGATGATGAGGGTCAGGGTGCTGCTACTCAGGGAGCCTACTAGGGAGATGATCACGTCGAGGTGGTGGATGAAGATGACTGAGACACCTGTAGCGAGACAAGAACTTTAGAATCACTGAATGTCTGTGCAAGAAGGGAGCTCAGAAACAAACTATTTTCTTGGAGCCCTAGAATTCCGCAGATGCCTGAGAGACTGCTTTGGAGAGGTGGGGTGGAGCCCACTGTGGGCTTAAGCAGTAGATCAGACACCGTGACTGGACTCCCACCCCTGATTTGACACCAAAGCAGATGCTCTCCTTTTTATCTACCGGATTTTCACACATAATTTTTAAAAACTTTTATTTATTTTGTTGTTGTTGCTGAGAATATATAGCAAAACATACACCAATTTGACAGTTTCTACATGTACAAGTCAGAGACATTGATTTCATTCTTCGAGTTGTGCAACCATTCTCACCCTCCCTTTCTGAGTTGTTCCTTACTCATTAACATAAACTCTCTGCCCTTTAAGGCAGAGACAGCAGCAACTGTAATCTGTTTTCACTTTGTTCCCATATAGATAGTTCTTAAAAGGCATAATGCTCAAGGCAGACATTCTTTACTAGTTAAGCTAAACTCTTGTTTGGTTTTTAGAAGATTTCAGGGGATATTATTGGTTTAAGGTTTAAAGATTATCTCAGAGCAATAGTTTCAAGGGTTCATCAAGCCTCCATGGCTCCAGAAAGGCTGGAGTCCATTCACATATAATCTTTACTGGAAGGACTCCTCTACGACTTATCTACTATAATCTCCTCATTGTAGATCTGAAGAAATCTGGGATTCAAAGGGAACAGGACTTGCCCAGTTCACACAGAGCTGAGCTGATAATCCATTAGGATGCCCACGCTAAGGATTCTAAGGTCCTTTCCACTCTACCATGCTGTCTTATATATATATGAGAGAACTTGGTACAGAGTAGATGCTCAATTAATGTTTGAATCTCACTCAGACACTGAATCAACCTTTGTACCACCTACATAATATAACCACTGTTTATAAGCAAGGATGGATAAAGAGAGAGAGAGAGAGAGACATAGCTCAGTTTCTTTCAGAATTTCAGTCACTTGTTTTCCTACTTTCAAAAGGTTTCTAGTAATTAAACAGGAAATAAAAAATGAAGACACCATTAAGCTGCCCACCTCCCATCACTTTTCTTCTATAAACACTCCTAAATCTTTTCATATACTTACGTTGAACGTATATCATGGATTTTCCACAACAATCCAATTTCAATCATGTTTGAATGAGTAAATATACAATTTATGTAATTTAATTTTCAACAACTATGTTATTTTCCTATGAATAATTTAGGGAGAAACTGGAAAGCATCCATACTAGCTTGGTGGATCTTGAAGAAAACATCACCTCTTTCTGAAGCTGCTCCAACATATCCAATCAGATAATGAGAGAGACTCATGGTTGGAGTCCATCACTTCTTGGATGGGATGATCCCCATCCACAGATTTCCTCCATTGAATATTTAATGAGCTGCTTACTGGAGGTGCGGAGAAAAATCAGCATCTATTCTCCAGAAGAGCTCACACTAAAAGGGTATAGAAAATATATATGTTCAGAAGCTATAACGCAAGGCAGGCTAGAGAGGCACTCTAAGAAGGAACAGATCTGGTGAGAGTCCTTCCATGGCTCCCTATTGCCCACAGTCTTTAGCACAAAGCTCCTTAGAACTTGGGCTCTGTCAAACTTTCTTCCCTAACCTCTCATCACTCCCCACTGCTTGTAGTTCTCCAAGGGCCCATGTGCAAGTACTTGCCTCAGGTCTGTGCGCAGCCTGTTCCCTACACCTGTATAACGTTCTTCCTTCCTCCATCTTTCTCCTACTTATCTTTTAGGTCTTAAATGAAATCAGGCACGGATTACCCAATAAGCAAGGTACGCATGGGCTTACTTGTGTTTACTTACTAATCTGTAGTGCACAATTTCACCACATGTGCATTACAGATTAATAAGTAAACACAAGTAAGCCCATGCGTACCTTGCTTTCTGTAAGCCCATGTGTACCTTGCTTACTGGTTAATCTGCCCCTGACTGAAATATCACTTCACTGGTAAGGACTCTCTGACCTGGCCCAGGCTGACTTATAGGACCCTCCTATGTGCTCTCAGGGTAGCCTCTGTTTACCTCTGTTTTAATACTTATCACAATGTCTTGTGTTATTTCCTTGTATGTATTTTCCACTCTACCATAATCCCAGTGAGGGCAGGGACTATTCTTCATTCTTGTGACCAGTACAATGCTGGGCATGAAGCAGGTGCTCAACAAATGTTTGTTGAATGAATGAAGGATAAAGGAATTTATGGATGAAAAAAGGAGGAGGAAGTGGCCATTTAGCATATACCGAAACAGGACATGTCATTAGATGGTCAGCCTTCTCTAGCCATGCTTCCCCTGGTCCCAAGTGTCCTGAACTACTGAGCCTTTCCTTCAGCTTACACCGTCCCTATCAGGAATAATTTCTAAAACAATATTATTTACATGTTCTTGATGGCTTGCTATAGACTGGGAACCCTCTGTCACACCTTAAACCAAGTAAGTATGCAGTTTCTGCTTCCAGAACTCCAGTTATGGGAACCTTATCTCAGCATGTTCTTCTGTTGGACAGCTCCAAGAGTTACACAATTTCTCCTGACCCTGAGATAAGACTCAGTTCCCTCAACTTTAAACTCTGACTCCTGGAGACTTTAAGGCTAAATTTGCTCTGTCTCTTGCACAACAATCCCACAAGTGTTTGAGGACAGATACAGAAATTCCCCTGAGCTTTCACTTCTCCAGGAAAAACATCCCTAGTTCATTTGTTCATCCCTCATGGGGCACTTTTTCTGACTTTCACAGCTCTGTTGGTGATGTCTCCCAAACGCCTACAACAGCACCTAACATAGAATGAATGAGTGAATGAATAAATAGAAGGATGAAAGGGAGGGAGGAATGAAGGGAAGAGAAAAGAGTATACCCCAAAACGATCTTCAACAATAACAATTCAACCCCTTGGGGTTTTCCATATGGTTAAACACTACTTTATGATACGGGATTTGACCTTAATTTATGATAGGAAGGGGTGTGGCACCATGGAAAGACAGGCTTTGGTGCCACACAGCCTGTGTTCAAATCCCAGCTCTGCAACTTACTAGCTGCATGGCTCAGGCATGTTGCTTAATTTCTCTGGGCCACAGGTCTCTTAACTGATGATTTGTTTTGCTAGGCTGTCATGAGTATTAGATACAGTCAGTACATTACTTGTCATATAGGAGACACTCTATATGTTATGTGAGTGCACGACTGAATGAATGATACTTCTCTCTCCCATAAACCAGCCTATGTGTACTTTCTATGTGTCGGCAGTTGATATTACTGTAATGTTTCCTATATACAGTTGTGTTTTTTTAGGAAGGCCTGGTGGCATAGTGGTTAAGAGTTCGCTGCTAACCAGAAAGTCAGCAGTTCAAATTCACCAGCTGCTCTTTGGAAAGTCTATGGGGCAGTTCCACTGTGTCCTATAGGGTCGCTATGAGTTGGAACTGACTCGAGGGCACCTATGTTAAGCCCATTTTTCCAGGTGGAAAAGTTGAGGTTCAGGAAGGCGAAGTTATCTTGTCCAAGGTCACAAAGAAGGCAAGCGGCAGAGCCAATGATGGTGGGGTAGGTGCCAGTGTAGCTCCCAGCCACAGCTTTGGGCAGAATGCCCTTTTGTCCTACTCACAGGTCAGACAGACCAAGGCTGTGCAGACAGACAGGTTTACAAGCAGTGCCCAACTCTCTGACAACTGGAAGACAGAGAAGGGGGATGATGATGTCAGCTGGGATGTGGAACTGGAAGGCATAGGTGAAGACGATGCCAATAGAGTACATTAGCTTGACTGACTGGTAGAACCTGGGGACAGATCGATGGGTCATGAAATGGAATGTGGCTCCCTGGGAAGGGCTCATTCATTGCTCGGAAGCTGGGAGTTGTTATTGAGGTATAGAGCTGGCCAGCTTCTGATGACTCAAGCCAGATGGCCATCAGAGCTGCCTCGGAAGCTTGTTAAAGTGCACATTCCTGGGGATTGTGATTCAATAGGCCTGAGGCTCAAGAATCTGTATATTTCCCCCCCAAAAGGTAATCCCTGCATAGAATAAAATTCACAGAACAAAAGTCATACAGTGAAAAGCCTCCTTTCCACCCTTAATCTCCAGTCTTCAGTTCCCCTTTCTCTAGGCGAGCGCTTTTATAGTTTTCTTTTAGCCCTTCCAAAATAATCTGTGGCTATGCAAGTTTATGCAGAATGTAGGTACACACTTACTGCACGCACACACACACGCTCACATACACACATACCCACATACATGCACACACATCTACACACACACATACACATAGACATACAAACCTATGCACACACACATGCATACACACATGCACACACAGATACAAACACACACATACACACACAGCAGCATCTTTTACACACTGTTGTACTTTTTTTATTAAATATTTCTTGCAGAACGTTCCCAGTCCATATACCTAGACCTACCTTCTCTATTTAATAACTGCTTGATAATTCAATTACCTGAGTATTCTATAATTTAACCAGTCCCCAATCAATGAATGCTTAGATTACTCCTAGTCTTCTGCCAAGTAAACAATGCTGCAGAGAATATCCTTTTACATACATCTGTGCACATATAGGATACAACCTCAGAAGTCGAAACGCTGGGTAAAAGTATATGAGTTTAAATTTTGGTAGCTATTGACACATGGCCCATTTTTTGTTTTAGTGTATGAGCATGTCTGCTTCCCCACGTCCTTGTCAAAATGCAGTGCGTGAGCACACGCTTGTCTTTGCGATTATGTGTCTTTTTCTTTTAAACTGGCATTTCTATTACTATAAGGGAGACAAAGCATCTTTTTTAAAAAAAAGGCCATTTTAAAAATTTGCCTGTAAACTGATCGTTGATCATCTTTACCCATTTTTCTTGGTCTTTTTTTTTTTTTCCCCAGTGGGAAGGGGTGTTTGTCCAAGGCTCCCAACCAAATCTGATGACCAGCCAGATGCGGAGCAGACGTGAAGTCCTTGCGGCACCCAATCCCCACACTTTTTAGCTGAGGCCCCAGAAGTATGGTGCCCTGTCCAAGGTAGTCAGTGGCAGCCTGGCTGGCCCAGAATGAGGGCCAGCACATTAGGATGATGTCTTACTTGTGTGCACTACTCCACAACTTCAAAGAGATCCCACATTTATTACCTCATCTAATCATTACCACAAAACAGTGAGGTGGATGGGGCTGCTGGTATTTTTCTCATTTTACAGCTGTGGTCTTGTGGGACATGAAGGCCCCATCAGCTTACTCACCTCAGAAAGATCAAGGCCTGGTGGACACATAACAATGACAAAAGCTAGCACTCAGTGAGCACTTACTATGTGCCAGGCACTTTTCTGAGCATTTTATGTATATAAGCCAATTAATCCTCACAATAACTCCAAGGGGTAGTGTGGCAGTCATTGGTGCTGTTCACCAAGTACTTCCAGCTCTTCTGGGCCCATGGCAGAATGGTACTTCCCTGCCCCCTTGGAGTGAGGTGTGGCCATGTGATTTGCTTTGACTGATGAAGTGTGAGCAGAAGAGGTGTGCGTCACTTCCAGGTGAAGTGTTACCAGTTCCATAATAAAGTGCATGAATAACTGTGTTCTCAGTGCTGTGGCAACCAGCAACGTTTCAGCGTGGCCTCTCCGTCAGCCTGGGTCCTCCATCACCTGGGTCCTGGAGTGGGAGTGGGGGTTCAGAGCTGATCCCCAGCCATCCCATAATAGACATGTAGCATGAGCAAGAATTAAACATTTGTGTTCAGCCGCTGAGATTTTGGAGTTGTTTATTACTGGGGCATAACCTAACCTATCCTGACTGGTGCAGATAAACCAAACCAGTTGCTGTGGAGTTGATTCTGACTCACGGCCACCCCATGTGTGTCACAGTAGAACTATGCTCCATTGGGTTTTTAACGGCTGTGATCTTTAAGAAGTAGATCCCCAGACCTTCTGGGAGGACTCAAACTGTCAAGCTTACAGTTAGTAGCCAAGTGCTTAGCCATTTGTGCCACCAAGAGACTCTGACTGGTACAGATAGGCATTAGTATTATCCATACTTTACAGAGGATGGAAATGAGACATGCTAGAGTAGGTAGCTTGTCCAAGGTCACTGAAGAGTCAGGATGCAAATCTCATTAGTCAGTTTTAGAGCCTGTGCTCTTAAACACTTGGGTATCTGACTGCTTTGTCACTGTGCACCCAATACTCCTAGCCCCTAAAGTGTTTCTTGAATGAATGAGTAGTCAAATACAATAACTCCGGACAAACTTCCAACTGGGACATAGCAATGGCAGCCTAGTCCAGTTCTGTATTGGGGACCTGAGTGGAGGTCCATCTGTGGGACCCTCGCCCACTACTCTGGAGGCATAACTTTTGTTGTTGTTTCTGTTCCACAACAAACCCAGGCCATTCCTGTCTCAAGGCCTTTGCACTTTAGAGTCAGACAGATTGAATTCAAGTTTCAGCTTCTCCCTTATAAACAGTGTGAGCTGAGCAACTTATGTATAGCCTCTCCAAATCTCAACTTCCTCATCTATGTAATGGGGTCAGTAATAATAATGCTAACTTAACTCATAGGGCTGTTGTGAGGATTAAATAAGATAATGCACAGTGCCTGGATTATCAAATTTAGCTATTATTATAGTTAATACTAATATTAACGTTTAATATTCATTGTTAATGATTACCTAAGGCAATGTCATATTCTATTGCTAAGGCTCAGATCGTGTGCCTTCCCCCACCCCCATGCCCCAGCAGGCAGGGATGTACTAGCAATTGGGCAAGTTGAAGGTGATGTTGGCTTGGGTGCCTGACCCAAACTTGATGTAGCCCAGTGTCCCTAGGCAGATGTAGAGGACAATGACAAGGGTCATCTCCAAGTACAGGACAAAGGAAAACTGCTGCGGATGCTTCATCTGGTTTTTGAGGGGCAGAACGTGGAGGTCAAAGGAAGTTGGGGAAGAAAAGGTAGAAAGCGATGTGGCACATTGTGAAGGAGCAGGGTTCCCTGACAAGCACAAACTTCCTTCTCCAGGTTCACCCAAGTCAGGGAGTGGCCTCTCCACATGTGCTCACCCCCCTCATCTTCTCTTGTGCTTTCTATTCCAAGAGTACCCTTCCCCTCAATTCTCACTCCGTCTTCAAGGCCAGGGTCTGGTGACCTTCCTTTTTGAAATCATTTTTACCTCCTCTCCTCAGGCAAAATTAATCACACCCTCCTCTATGCCTTTGCCTATGGCTCTTTCATTCCAAAAACTTTTGCCTGTCTCCTGCACTGGTCACATGAGTCTGTCTCCCACGCTAGACTGGGAACTCTCTGACAGCTACCACATCTTATTGGCTTAGTTTTTATAGTCTTATTAAGACATAATTGACAAAAATAAAATGCACATATTTAAAGTATATAATTTGATAAGTTTCCATACACACCAGTAACACACGTACACACACCCACACAGGAAATCATCACCATAATCACAATAGTGAACATATCCATCACTCCCAAAAGTTTCCTCACGTCCCTTTGTCATCCTTCATCCTGTCGCTCCCCACCCTCTCCATCCCTATCTCTAGGCAACCACTGATCTGTTTTTTGTCACCATAGATTAGTTTGCATTTTCTAGACTTTTTAATAAATGGACCACCCACTATGTACTCTTTTTTTTTTTTTTTTGGTCTAAATTCTGTCACTCATAATTATTTTGGGATTCATTCATGGTGTTGCTTGTATCAATAGTTCGGTCTTTGTTATTGTTGAGAAGTATTCCATTGTCTGGATATGCCACAATTTGTTTATCTGTTCACTTGTTGATGGACATTTGAGTTGTTTCCAGCTTTTGGATATTATGAATAAAACTGTTATGGACATTTGTGTATAAGTCTTTGTAGAGATTTGTGTTTTCCTGCCTCTTGGGTAGATACCTAAGGGCGGAATGGCTGGAGCAAATGGTAGGTGTATATTTAACTTTTAAAACTGCTATCCAAAGTGGTTGTACCATTTCACATGCCCACCAGAAGTGCGTGAGTGCTGCACGCCATATCCTTGTTAATACTCAGTGTGGTCAGTCTTCTTAAGTTTAGCCATTCTTTCATCTTTCAGTGATGCAGTGCAGATGCCAAAACAGGTGGGCTGCATTTTGTTTGACCTGCATAGTGTTTTCACTTCTTAAAACAGTTAAGTCAGCTGCCACATTTGAAAATCAGGAAGATTTGCACAAAACCCAGATTCTCACTTCTTTGAAATATCAGGAGCAGTGGCAACAACAACGCTCACAAACCTCCATGGCAATAATTGGTTGGAGCTGAGTAGCACCTGCTCCCTTGAGACGGGACATATCCTCTCCAGTTTGCCACAGTCCCCACCCCTCCCTACTGTTAACTGATGGCTCATTTTACTCACTTATGTTATCTGCCTCATCCCTGTAGACAACCAAATTTTCAAACTCCGTTCTACGGCTTAGTGCAGCGTATGCAGCAGTAGGTATCCCGTGAGAAAGTACCAACTTTCCCTCCCACCAGGAGAAGATCATATTCTACACTTTTCATAAATACTATTATTTAGGCTCCTGAAACAATAACCAGCTGCCCTGAAGAGCACCAGGTATCATTCACTTAAACCTTACATGAACCTTACCATACCAACGCCTTCAAATGTGAAGATGGCAGTACCAAAGAACAGCAAGAAGATCTTCCAGCTTGCCATCAAGGGTAGTTTGCTGGCATCTGGGATTCCCTGAAATGGAGTAGAAGAAGGGCATTGGCTTTGCCAGGGCATAGAAGTCATCTCAAACCTTTGCCTGGTAGGAAGAAGTCGTGTCACAACTGACTTCAACAGAGATAGTCAGTGCTAGGAGTACCTGTAAGATATATAGAGTTCAATCAGCCTTCTCACCTTAAATCTCATCCCCCCCCCCAAAAAAAAACCATTGCCGTCAAGTTGTTTCCGACTCATAGCAATCCTATAGGACGCAGCAGAACTGCCCCATAGGGTTTCCAAGGTTGCGAATCTTTATGGAAGCAGACTGCCACATCTTCCTCCCATGGAGATGCTGGGTGGGTTTGAACCTCTGACCTTTCGGTTAGCAGCTGAGCACTTTAACCACTGTTCCACCAGGGCTGTCACCTTTACATGTGGGGAAAGAGGGACCCAGGGAAGGGAAGGGAGTTGCCCAGGGTCACTGTGCAAACTAGTGGCACAGCCCAGATGAGAATACAGGTCTCCTGATTTTCTCAGCCCTCTATCACCTCTTTCCTATCAGCTTCTCTCAGGACTGTGCCGTCCAGTAGCTGTTAGAGCAGCTATCATGGATCTAGGGGAGGATACTTATTTTTTTTTAAAAATGTTACTTGTTTTTTGTGTTGTTGTTGAGAATATACCCAGCAAAACATATGCCACCTCAACAGTTTCGGCATGTACATTTCAGCGACATTGATTACATTCTTTGAGTTGTACAACCAATCTCACCCTTCTTTTCTGAGTTGTTCCTCTGCCATTAATATAAACCCTCTGAATCCTAAATTTCCTAGCTAATCTTTTGAGTTGTTGTTGTCAATTTGATCCCATATAGGTAGATCCTAAAAGAGCACAATGCTCAAGGCAGACATTCTTTACTAGTTAATCTAAACTATTGTTAGGTTTTAAGATGACTTAAAGGGATATTTTTGGTTTAAGGTTTAACGACTATCTCAAGGCAATAGTTTCGGGGGTTCATCCAGCCTCCATGGCTCCAGAAAGTCTGGAGTCCGTGAGGATTTGAAGGGATGCTTATTTTTTTTTTAATATTTTATTGTACTTCAGGTGAAGGCTTACAGAACAGATAGTTTCTCATGTAACAGTAACACACATGCTGTTTTATGACATTGGTTAACAACCCCAC